ACAGTTTCCTCAAAGTACGAGCGAGGTGGCCTGGGCCTGGGTGAGAAGCCTTCTTTAGCACAAACCTCTTCGCCAAACACAAATGTTACCAGTAGCTGTTTTTATTTCCTATATCAACTCAAACCGGCAACTAAAGGTGCAGTGTCCCAGTAGTACTTTGAACACTAATGGCTCCTTCACGCAGGAGCCTGAGAGCTGGCGCCGAGTGGTGTGACGGCTTTATTAAGATCCCCAGATTATAAGGAGCTGTTGTGATCTTCTCGTCTGACCTCTGCGTAAAACAAGCCACGGTACTTTCCTGAATTAATTCCTGTTTGAAAGAGGGCGCATGCTTTAGAAAGGCATCCAGTCTTGACCGGGGGGGGGAATAAGTGACAGACAATATGGTGTAACCTTTGATGTAAGTGGTTAATTATGCTCTGGAAATGTATGCCTAACCGTTTGTCAAAGCCTGTCCAGCTTCAACCTTCCAGCCTTTAAATTTTTTTTTTTAAATTCATTAGTGAAGATTTTTTTCCTCAGTTCTGTGCCCTCTGTGTTGCATGCTTGCAGGCTGATCCAGTAACCTCTTAGCCTTCTCTTTGCTAAGCTAACAAGACTGAGCTCGTGGCTTCTCGGTGTTTTGCTGTAAGTCGTGCCTTCCAGCCTTTTAATAACTTTCAGGCTTCTTTTGTGCACCCTTCTACCCGCTTTTCCCCCGATCTCTCTTTGTTTATAAATGCCAGGGTTTCATTTGGCATTCCAGATGTGAGACCAATACAGAGTGATACAGCTGTAAACTTTTACTTCTGACAAAACTCTCTGCTTTATATAGCCATTTTCAATTAGCTAACTAATACCCATGGTCACAGTGGGACTTTCTGTGCTGTTGATTATCTTCAATATTCCCAAATTTGCTAGAGTCACAGCTTCACACAACAATCCTATAGATCATGACTTTCTTTTTTTTTTTTTTTTTTTTCACCTAGATGTAAAGATTTACCTCTGCTCATATTGGAATTCTTACAGTAGATTGATTGTATTATGAATAATAACAATAATAATAAAGAAAATTATATTATTGTGTTAATGCTGTGTTCACTTTATTATTTACCATTTTTCCCCCCAAACATAATAATTTACAAACCTTCTCTAGTCTTTATTTTCATAGGAATTTGAAATGGGAAAAGTTCGGGTCCATTCAGTCCACAAAGGGGTTGCTGCAGCCACTCCTGTATGTGCTTTCATTGTCTGATTAAGCTGCTTCTGATTATTATCGTTTTAAAAATGAAGAGAGCCCAAAATTAGGCTGAAAATTAGAAGATTTCTATCCAACAAAAGAGAAGCATTCTGGAATAGTCTTGTATTTCACTTGGAATACAGAAGACAAAAGGAAAAGAGGAATTAAGATTTCTGGGACCTTGCAAAATCTGATATCAGTGGTTTCCTCATTTCTAGTTGTATGTTAAAGATCTTGTCAAGTGCCTGCCCATTTTTCTTTTAGTTGATGCTGTGTTGACTTTTAGTGTTTGGCTTTTGTCAGATCCTTGGTGGAAATATCACTTTATCTCTCTCTGTTTATTTAAAGCTAAATTTGTCATCATCATAAGAACACCGGCTAGCCAAGATCTGTGTTCTGTAAATCCATGTTGCTGGACATGAATTCTATTATTCTCCCTTAATTCTTTTTTAATAGAGTCTTCTATCATCTGTTCTGTGATTTTTGTCTCTGATCAATATGAGGTGGAGAGGCCAGTAATTACCTGGTCATCCCATTTACCCTTGCAAAATTCATGGTATGGTGCTAGTTTTCATCTGGTTTCCTGCACCCCTCAAATACATGAAGACATAATGAAAATCAGTGTTGATGGTGTAGAGTTTGGAACTGTCATGATTTTCTGATGGAGCGAACTGTTCACACTTCAGCATCCATCTTGATTCAGAGTATATGAGGATGTGAAATACCTATCTGCAGCTTTTAATTGATGGAATAGAGCTTATTCAGAGCTCAGGCCTCCAATCTAAAACCTCACAAGAGGTACAAATAAGGAATGAATTTAGCTGTTGCCCTGTGGCCAGGCATGTTTTATTGCCCATGCTTTGTTCATAGGTCAATCTTGAGCATGATAAGACATAACGACTCATACAACTTCTCATGGGGCTCAGCCAAAGAAAAAAAACTGTGGATCTGGAGAGTCGCAGCAAGTGCAAACAGCAGTCAGACACAGAAGCAATTTTGTTCTTGCCCTGTTGCAGTTCAGGAAGACAGTGTAGTGCAAGCTGTTATCAGATCAACGTGGTAGGCTACACATATTGATATGACCTTTTGAAATTTGAGAATTTAATTAAGCCTCCAAATCCATAAATATTGCTTTTTTAAGAAAACATTTTATATTCATTTTCATTTCCAAAGAGCAGTTGGAGAAAGAGTGCTTTGTTCTTTTGCTTTATGTATGGCTTTATTTGTTTGACATTGATGTAAATATACTACATGGATGGCAGAATTCAACCATTGAGCAGAAAGTCAAAGTCCTTGTTACAGATGAATGGGATGTTGCAGACATTACAGTCACTCATAAATCTTGCTGTACGTCCATGTGATTAATGTCTAACAAGGTTTTTGATTGATGGCTTAGCAACTACTAATCAGGTGTTATGGGACCAAATCATGAAATCCCTTACTTCGTTGGTTAAGGAAAGCTCCTGTTCGCTTAGATAGGCAGGAGAATGTCTGGTTTTTCTTTTCTTTTAAGTGGATTTAAAGTTCTAGCTTTTAATAAGTACATGGCCCGGCCGCAGCTTCCAACACTGAAATATTATACTTATTAAACTCCTGTACTAGGACTATGAGAGCAGAACAACTGGATAACTTGGACTGTCTAGACGTAGGGAATAAATTGAGGCCGATGACATTGGGTGAAGGCCATGCATTGCACAACGCAATGAGAAACGAAAAGTTCAGGCTATTTTTTGTGGCAAGTAGTTGGCAAGATTTTCAGACTGGCCCACGTGTTAATTGTATTGCTTAAAAATTGTAAGGGTTTTAATCTTCATGCTGCAGTTATAAGCCAAATGTACTGTGTGTTGAAGATCTCGCCTGTCTTAACTTCTCTCCCACTTGGCTGTGTATTGTAACTGCTCAGCCATGCTTACACTTAATTACTTCGTTCTGAAGAATTTGTGTAACTGTTGAATACAGGGCACTGGAGCAGAAAGAGCTTTGATCTGTCTCGCACGGTTTCTGCTATGCTTGAATTTTATAACTTAAAGATGAACCTTGAGAATAGTTATCAAAACCAGCTATTTTCACTGCTTTTACAGCTTTTGACTTTTTCAGAGCCTTGAGTCTAACCATCCTGCCCTGCCTATCTAGTAATACCATAAATTAACAATTTTCTCTTCTTTTTTGTGATCAACAGTGTTTTCAGAATGGTTCTGAACATCTAACCACAAACTCATCTTCTGTTTCTCTGTTTCACTTTTTAACCAACAGGGATAATTCATTATGTTCCTAGCTCAAACCTCTGTTGGCTTATTGTAATCTTGGAGCCAAGTACTGTATTACACGCTTTACATTTCTTAGTCCTGGATATAAAGTGACACCAGAGTCGTGGAATCCATTCTAAATAGGTTTCATCCATAATGGGAGAAGAAATTGCTAAGTGTTTTTCTTTTTTTTAAAACTTGATTAAGTTTGAGGGTTTAATTACATTTTTGTGGTGATTTTAGGGTTGTTAATTCAAGTAGAGAAGATGAAATGCAAATAGGCGAATACAAACGGATTTGGTAAATTACTGTTAAAAATTAGCGCAGTGATTATTTTTACTCTTAACAATAAGCATGCATTTTAAAAGCTTGTGCTCAGGTAAAGTTTTAATTGAGATGTTTTAGGAGTCGAAGTTTCTTTGTGTTTGTATTTTTTTTTTCTCAAGCTATCCTGAATTGTTTCTAATTAGGGGCATGATACCATTTGCCTAGACATTTATTCCTATGTAATTTGTTTAAACTTCGCACAGTACTGATGTGTTCCTTTCATTACAGACAACTCTCTTTGATGGGCTTTGACTAGCTAATTATTAAAATGGAACACATTACTAATAGCCTCCGAGTAGGTAGAATTTTCTGAAAATAAACAGTGACTTTCTGAATGCACTGACAAAAGTTAATTTTTAAGGGGTTTCTTTCCATCTGCAGACACAAGGAAATTAAAAGTGAATGACTTGGAATCTCTTTCTACTTCTGTACCATGGAGTTGCTTAAACAGCATCAAAAATCAGGCCACTGCTCAGGGCTGCAAGGGTTTCACAGAGGGGACCCTCATCTCACAAAGGGACCCCCCAACCCCTTACTGAGTATACTGGGCTAGAGGAGAATCAATCCTAAACTACGTTGGCAAAACTGATGGCTGTGGGAATTCATATTTTCAGTGGTAAAAGAAGCATATTTGTTTTGAGAGCTATTAAAGGGCAATTTTTGCAGCATTCCCAGGATTTTTTTTTCCAACAGCATACGTGACCTGCAGCACATGCACCCGAACACGCACATAGTTGTTTTATATTTCTATATATATAGCAAATATATAGGCATACATACACATATGTAAAATATGCTTTTGTCACTGAACAGATCAATTTTGCTAACCTTTATGTTTTTAAGAGCGGTGGTGTGTAATCAGTCTGTAAAGGCCAGCCAACAACCCACCCACCATGTCCCTGTTACTGCTGCTGATAGAATCGGTTTTGGGAGGAGTGGGGACTTCTTGCAAGTTACCTTTGGTACCATCAGGGTTTTGTAGCAGATTGAGTTGGTCAAGTAATGCCAAACGAGCTTTTACCAAATTAGTGACAGTGGCATATAAATCACTAGGATCACATTTCTGAAAATAAAGCTAGGTTTCCATTAATTAAATTTTTGAGATTTTTATTAATTTTCCAGTCTTATAGGGTACCTAAGGGTCCTAGACATTACATAATAATGCTGTTTTATTTCGAATGCTGAGTTCTCCTTCCTTCTGTTCACAGATGCTGCTGACAGAATATCTGGATATGAAGAACACCCGCACTGCCTCGGAGCCATCCACCCAGCTTAGCTACGCCAGCTCTGGGAGAGAATTTGCAGCGTTCTTTGCAAAGAAGAAGCCACAAAGGCCTAAAACCCCTTTGTTCAAGTAAGTGCTGGGACGATGTTAAAGCTGTGCCTGAGCTGTCTTTGGTGCCTCGAGTATTGCACAACACTGGCTGCTAATCGCAGTTTCACAGTGTGAGAGAGTCTAAGTTTTGAGATGGAGATTTAATGCCCAAAGCTGAAGCCTCGGTAAGATCTCTGTTATGGATTCATCCCTGGTTTTTAGAGTGTAGCTCTTTCCAGGGCCCTTCTCGGGACTGGGATCTCGTTATACAAGCTTCTGCAAAGCATGCAGTGATACATTATGTCTGTCTTTGTCCACGGTAAATTCAGGACCTGTTAAAGAGTGCGATAAAGGGGACTGGACAAAGAGAATTAAGATAACTGTATAATTACTAGATAGACTAAGCAGTTAATCCTATCACTAACTCCTTTAATTCGGAGTTCAGAGTGGAAAGAAGTGGTTGGGAGGAGAGTATAAGAGAGAGGATGAGAGGCTAGGTGGCCAAGGGAAGGATTTGGGGGAAAAAATTTGATATGCAAGAATAAGGAGTGAGGAGGAGTTGTTGGTGAGCAGCACTGTTAGGAGACAAGAGATGGCCGTGTTATTACACCTAGGTTCAGGTGAGCTGTGCTGAGTTTTCATCTCTTCTGCTGTCTACATGTGCTGGTCATTCTCTTTGGCCTCTTGAGGATTTTGGGGAATACCAAAATGTCCTGTTTTGGCAGCAGGTGCTCCAAGTTCAAAGATCACAGCTTCCTTGGCTCTGCCAGCATAACTACATGTGTGGCTGCTGTTTTAACTCAGAACCACCAAAATAATCTTTTTAATATACTTTTTTTTTTTTTTTAAACGATGAGATTGTTCGAAAATAGTTGCTGAGGGAATGAGCAAGTTTCACAGCGGGTTTGAGGGAATGACAGAGAGAGTACCAGCAGCTTGGAGCAGTAACCTTTTAACCGTGGTCAGCTGCAGCAGGAGCAGTGTATCTGATGGGTCCTCAGCACCCTCTGGACTATAAGCTGCTGCAGGGCTTGGGTTGTTTTTTGCTACTCATCTGAGTGCTGCTTAACCTTATGAGGCTTTGCTCTGCGGAGTCAAGAGAGCACAAGGTTAAAAAAAAAATCTAGTGGAATATTTGCTGGAGGGGGAGCGATTGGAAGTGCGCTGGTGTTTTCGTCCCTGATTTGCTGGAGACGTGGATCCATCAAGTCTGGGTATTTTTTTGTAATGAAGAACCCCTCATTTGTGATTGGAGGTAGATCATTATGTGGTGGGGGAATAATGCAGGAACTTCAGTAATGGGAAAGGCTGAGAGTAATCAGCTGTTTCAGGTGAGTGGGAGGGGAGCTTTGTGTTCTGTGTCCTTTTTACAGATTGTTTGTTGTGTTTTTTTTTTCAGCTAAAATTTATTTCTTGATTATGCAGAACTCCCTGTGCTTTGCCCCGTGGGCACGTGTATCTGGTGGCTGTCTTCTTGTAGTACCTAAGGCCCCGGTTAGAAATCGAAGTCTTCCACGCTGCCTTCTCTCCCTGTCACAGGATGAGGTGTTTATGTGATCTTCTGTTAGAAGGTTAACTGTTGCCTGGAGGATTTCAGAGGTGCCTCCTGCCCCTCTCAACCCATGGTTATTCCCCTCACCATTTTTTTTTTTTTTTTTTTTTTTAACACTTCCATGACTCTTTGGGTTGAGAATGACACTCTTGGAATTTGCTCTGACTTGCAGATGTGTATTGGAGCAAAATAGGGCTGCCCACCTTTTGATATTGTGTCTCTTCTTGGGTGTACTTGGACCATTTAAGTTTGAGGAATAAGGGTGCTCTGTTTCACCTACAGCAGTTTAAGGCTGTATATTAGTTTGTCAAGAGAGAGTGAAGGTGGGTTTAATTGTTTAAAGGGAAGGTGCCTAACCTCATAGGAGCAGGATGTCTCTTACCACTCATGGTCTTGTCACAGAGTCATTGCCGGCACCGCAGTGACAGCAGCACTTATTGGGATCTCTTATTTGGTTATCTGTCTTCTGTCAGCTGTCACTGTATCTGTGGAAATCTCCGCTGAAATGGAATTTCTCAGTCCACTGAGGGATGTACGTGTTTGATGGAGTGTTATTCTTGTCTCCTCTCCCATCTTCACTGCTTTTCATGCCAGGCTGCAAGGCTCTTTTTCTTGCCTTTCCATTAGTTCTGTCCAAATCAGAGGAGCCTTCAGCTTGTCATCAGAATATCTACATTTAATTCCTCACTTCAGAAGTCTCTTAGGGCAGGGCTCCACCTCGCGTTTTATTTGCAGATGGATGCAGGTGTTTGTGCTGTGTCCTTTGATAGTTTGCTGTAAGCTAATTTTATAAATACTAAGTACTTTTGCTAGTTGTTTATTCTAGCAATAGTGGGAAGGATAAGGAGTTGTCAGTTGTGTCCTGCTGTCTGGAAATCAGTAGCTAGCATTTGGAAGAGACTTTGAATTGTTGTTTCCCTATCTTTAAAATGGACGTAATTTAAAAAAAAAAAAAAAAAAAAAAAACCTCACAATGTATTTAGTTGTTTAATGTTGGCTTAAAAAAGACAACTTCAGATGAGGGGACTTTGGGAATTCAGATAGTTCATGCCATCATAAACCTGGCTTTCTTCTCTTCCAAAAGGTAGCCAAGTGCACATTCAGGTTGCCATCTCCCTACAGATCAGATTTGCAAGATGGAAATTGGGCATAGGTGGGAAAGGAGTGAATTGTGCAAACAGATGTTGAACACCCAATACATTAGTCTCAGGCTTGGCTGTAATTATATGTAATTCTATGTAAAACAAAAATATTTTGAAAGCTTTGCTGTGGGAGGATCAGCATGGGGAAAGGAGTTACAAGAGTAGGGGAGTTAAGTGTAAGTAGGAACACAGGAAAAAAGCAGATCCAGGAGACAGCAGAGGAGGGAAACTATGGGAGAGAAACTGGATGGCGGTGGGGAAGAAGTGAATGCGATGAGGTCCTGCAGCAAAAGCCAGTGCAGGGCTCCGAGGGATAATCTGAGTCGCTGTGTCAAGGAAGAGACTGAGGTTTATTGCTGTAGTTTGCCTTGACCTGAAGCTTCTGGTTTCGATGCCTGGAGAAGACCTCGGGGCCATGGTGATAATGTTGCGCTTAATATCTCGCTAGGGGCGAAAGGGAGCACATCATAAATATAGACCCAAGAATTTACTGTTCATTTAATTAAAGTCTTAAGTGTTTGTTGTATTTTGATAGATTGTTATTAGTTCAGTTGCAATAATACTAACACTCGCAGTCCAAATTAAAGCAGAAGAGCCTCATTAGTAGTAATAACCTTCACACTGTTGCACAAGAAAGCTTACAAATGCTTGCGCCTTTTCTCTGCTGTGATGCTCGTGTTTCCAGTCTTGTCACGAGTCCTTGGCCATGGGACACTTGCGATCACAGGGACACCCAGCTCAGGGCACGGCAAGCCCAGAGACGTCCGGAGACCCTGGAGTGTCGGGTCAGTGCCCGGTCTGTGGCCTTGTGCTATCAAGTGCAAAAAATCACGTTTATGGGGATAGAGTAGTTGGAAAATATTTCTCTCTGCCTCTCAGATTGGTCCTTGTGGAGTGTTAGAGCCATATGACAAATACTTCATAGTTTATTACTCCCTAGTTTTCAGGAGAATGTTGCTTTTTAATTTTTAGGTATGGGTAAGCAATTTAGATGGTGCTAGCCTATGGCTTTGGTTTGGATTTTACCAGTTTTTGGCGCCATTCCTACCTAAATGCCTGGGTGCTCCCAGCTGATAGAGCAGAGGAGCATCTCGGTGCTTTGCGGGCAGCTCTGTGTCATGGGTGGCTGCTGGCAGAGCTGTGTTGATCAGGGGTGGCAGAACGTGGTGCATCAGTGATGGGGAGTTTTACAGGAAAGATGGGCTTTTGTCTGCCTTGGTAAATTTGCTCCAACGTGCAGGGAAGTCCTTTTTGTTTAGAGGTGACTGGTGCTTACAAGAAGGATGCTTCTATGGATGGCTAACTGACTGGATTTTTTTTTTTTTTTTTTTTTAATTACAGGTTTGAGTCCTCCTCCCATGCTATTAGCATGAGTGCCTATTTGCGTGAGCAGAGGAGGGAACTGTACAGCAGAAGTGGAGAACTTCAAGGTGGGGAAATAGATAATGTACTAGTTTGAATAATTCTCTTTTGCAGGAGCTTGAATATCCTGTTCATGCTACGTCAGGGTATTAATACCTCTCTATTTTGCCACACAGGCTGTCTAAATCTCTGCAGTTTTTAAGCTCTGTTTATTTATTCTTATTACGTTGTGAAGCAGCAGGGTTTCTCTTTATTCCCCCTGTGTTTTCAGCTAGAGGTCAAGGTCTTAAAAGATACTCATAAAACAATGGGTGAAATGCAGACAATCTCACCGTGAGCACTGCTTTTGGATGCTTGGAGCTACTGTCTGCTTCCTTATCTGCAGTTTATTTCCTTGCATCATATGCTGAATGTGGTACTTACCCTGGATTGCTTTGGGAGCTAAGCTCAGTCGTCTCATATTTGAAGCTACAAGTTTCTGTTGTATGGACTAAAGTGACCAATTCTTTGTCTTTTGTATAACACTTGAAGAGTTGCAGAGTGTTTGAAAATGGTGAATTGGAAGAGTTGGGCTATTCTCGCTGGTTTACATTGCTTGTGGCAAGTGCTGTGTATACACAGAGAAGAGTTCTCTCCCTGAGCATGGCATCATTTCACTTTTTTTTTCTGAATGGTCTAATTCACAAAAGTGTTGGCTTTGGGAGCAAAATCAAGGCAAAATCTTAAGGCTGTCACCATAATGTATAGCAGGACTAAATTCTTTTTGATCATATATTCTAGTTTCTTACTGGGCTAATCTTAAGAAGAAAATAATATATACTTTTCAAATATTATAGTGATGGACAAGGGTAGAATTTCTCCTTGAAATCTTACCCGTGATAAAAGTTGACTTTTAATTGAAGATGTTTTATATTTTACAAGAGAATTTTTGGATGATTTCATGTTCCCTTCCTCCTTTTGTAACTTAGCTGACCTCAGCGACAAGTTAAACCCACAGCAGTGTGAAAAGAAGCCTTGAGAGACATACAGTGTTCTCGTGACAGATCGCTTCAGTTAGGTGACTCTATAAAGATGGTCTTAGTATTGATGATTAAGGATATAGTTATTCACTCTATGGTGAATATTCACATACTTCTGGATGGACTGTGAAGGAAGAATGTGAGATAAAGATGTACTGAAGTTGACAGCTGCCCACACTAAGATCTGACAGCGTATAGGAATAAAATAAAGTGGAGATACCTGTCTTTTAAATTATGGTATCACCATTTATGCAGACTTGGAAGGTGTTTATCTTACAGCTCTTTACCTTTTGAGACTACGGTTTTCACCTTCAAAATCTGTCACGTGCTCTTGTGCCCAGGATTAACTGGAAGAAGTTACCCAGTTCAGCAGCATTGTGGTGGGTTGACGCTGGCTGGACACTGGGTGCCCACCAAAGCCGCTCTATCACTCCCCTTCTCAGCTGGACAGGGGAAAAAATATAATGAAAGGCTCGTGGGTTGAGATAAGGACAGGGAGATCATGCAACAATTACTGTAATGGGCAAAACAGACTTGACTTGGGGAAATTAGTTTAATTCGTTACCAATCAAATCAGAGTAGGGTAATGAGAAGTAAAACCAAATCTTAAAACACCTTCCCCCCACCCCTCCCTTCTTCCCAGGTACAACTTCGCTCCCAAATTCTCTACCTACCCTCCACCAGCGGTGCAGGGGGACGGGGAATGGGGGTTGGGGTCAGTTCATCACATGTTGTCTCTGCTGCTCCTTCCTCCTCAGAGGCAGGACTCATCACTCGTCCCCTGCTCCGGCGTGGAGTCCTCCCCGGGCTGCAGGTGGAGATCTGCTCCCCCATGGACCTCCCTGGGCTGCAGGGGGACAGCCTGCCTCACCGTGGTCTTCCCCACGGGCTGCAGGGGAATCTCTGCTCCGGCGCCTGGAGCATCTCCTCCCCTCCTTCTGCACTGACCTGGGGGTCTGCGGGGCTGTTTCTCTTACAAGTTCTCACTCCTCTCTCCGGCTGCAGTTTCTGTGCCCCGTGCAACTTTTTTCCCTTCTCAAATATGTTCTCCCAGAGGCGCTACCACCGTCACTGATGGGCTCAGCCTTGGCCAGCGGTGGGTCCATCTTGGAGCCGGCTGGCCTTGGCTCTGTCAGACATAGGGGAAGCTTCTAGCAGCTTTTCACAGAAGCCACCCCATAAGCCCCCCACTACCAAAACCTTGCCACACAAACCCAATACAAGGTTGTTGTAAAGTGTAAGCTGTTATATTGCATCATCGTTTTCTTATACCAGGGGGCAGTAGGATTTTTAACTTCTCCACAGCTAATACCTCTGTGTTACAAACTGCGTGGGATAAATGTGTGTTCAAAGCAAAGAATTGTGAAGCTGTCTAGAGCACTAAGTTTGGAGCAGTGATGGGGTGTCCAGGTTTCAGCTGGGATAGAGTTGTCTTCCTAGTAGCTGGTATAGTGTTAATGTTTTGGATTTGGTGTGAGAAGAATGTGGATAACACACTGATGTTTTCAGTTGTTGCTGAGTAGTGTTTAAACGAAGTCAAGGATTTTTCAGCTTCTCATGCCCAGCCAGCAAGAAGGCTGGAGGGGCACAAGACGTTGGGAGAGGACACAGCCAGGACAGCTGACCCAAACTGGCCAAAGGGGTATTCCATACCATGTGACGTCATGCCCAGTATATAAACTGGGGGAGTGGGGGGATTGCTGCTTGGGAACTAACTGGGTATTGACTGGCGGGGTGGTGAGCAATTGCACTGTGCATCATTTGTATATTTCAGTCCTTTTATTATTACTGTTGTCATTTTATTAGGGTTATCATTATCATTATTTGTTTCTTCTTTTCTGTTCTATTAAACTGTTCTTATTCCAACCCACGAGTTTTACTCCTTTTCCCGATTTTCTTCCCCATCCCACTGATGGGGGGGAGTGAGTGAGCGACTGCGTGGTGCTTAGTTGCTGGCTGGGGTTAAACCACGACACGGGCTCATCAGGGAGCCTGCAACACTTGCCTTAAAAATTTCAGGTCTCTTTGTCATGAGTCCTGTTCCCTTCTGTCATTCCCAGTTGCTTCCACACCCTGACCTGACCAGTTGTCCATGTTGCTTTAAAAAGACAGTAGAGAACAGCAGTGACTCAGTCCACATCTGTGTCCTCTTCCAGGTACCTTGTGGCTGAGATCGGGGTATTTTTGTCGTTACTATTGCTGTTAGGCTGAACTGAGGATTTGTATTTAAATAGCTCCTTTCCTGGGTTCAGAACTCGTTACTGATGGGCACAGCCAGATTTCATGAAAGAGTGACTCCTTATTGATACAAGACAAATCTTAAGGCAACATTTGTCATGAGCAGGAGACTGTGAGCGTTTTCAAGAGAGGAGGATGCAAAAGAGAGCTATGCAGACTTCCAGCTGCTGAGCTAGTGTGGGGTTGGAAAGAACAAAGCCTATGAGCTGACAAAGAAGTAAAGGACAACATATAGGAATTAGTGTGGATAGGGACAAGACTATGTTGCCCTTTCTGGATGAATTGGAAGAGCCTGAACGTGATGCAATAGGTGACAAAAAGTCAATGTAGGGAGTCAATAGGGACAATAGATGAGATGACTTTGCTGAGAAATCTTTGCAGTTTAACCATCAAGAAAAGTTTCTCTTTGAACTTTATGTTAAAAATGTACTATCCTCTCTTTCTATTATAAGCTGCTGTTCCCTTTTAGGTATCTCATTAATCTTCCTGAATCCCAGACCACAGCAAGATCTGCATTTTGATTTTGATTTTTTTTTTTTTTTTTACCCCTTTTAAAGAGAAATACAATTTAATTGTTCAATCAGGTTACTGGAAGGCAGGCATGTGACACTCTCTGTTCTGTGAATGCCACACAGTTTCTCTTCCTGACAGCCTTATCCACAGGGATGATTTTTCAGTGGCAGCAGGGGGAGGGTGGCTTGTTAGGGAATCTTTTTCCTGAAAAGATCTTCAAAGAAACATATACATTAAAAAAAAAGAACTTATAAAAGTTTGGCTCATGCCAACTTTTTGAAATAAGAATTTAATTTAAATAGCCTTAAAATGTGTGAAGATCAGAGTGATGCTTTGTCATTAACCTCTTTCGTTTGGACTGAAATAGTGCAGTGCAGAAGGCACACATTATCCCTCAGTGGGAGAAAGGGACCTGCTGTAAGTGATTTAGAGATGGAATTCTTCTGTCTTATTCCACTGAAATTGGAGGAGGAAAACTCTAGGCCATGTATTTTTCCCTTGAAGTTAGACACACAAGTTGTTTGACAATTGTCATTAAAAAGGGGTGGGAGTGGGGGGGAAGCAAGTACATAACTGAAATTATCTCCTCTTAAACTAACATAGATGTGGTTCCCCGGGTTGTTGTCAGAGGTACAATGTCAGAGGTGGTTTATTCTGTACAAAACAGGTAATGACCATCATTAAGCTTCTCATTTCCTTTTTTCCCCAAGAGCCCATCCTGGCCATGTGCTGGCTGGGGAATTTACATTTTCCTTGTTGGAGCCCTCCTGCCATTTGTCAAATACAATGTTCTTTTTATAGACTGTCTTAAATAATGCCGGTGTATTTTAAAAACAAGGAAGTTTATTCCATGAGCAGCTGAATGACTGAAACCTCGTTCATCTCAGATGTGTCTCCTCCCTTAACGCCTTTCCTTCAGTAGCCACACTTCTCACCGTGTCTCTAAACCTGCTTCATCCCCCTCACTTCTTTCTCCCTGGCACCCACCAGTGCCTACCTGTGTCCCCGAACCACCCACTAAGCAAAAAGCAGCATGTACCATGGCTGGATCAAGTGAAGTACATACTGTGGAAGCATACGTGCAGGTTGCTGCCTGGCTGGTAGGTCCAACAGCGTGGAGAGCTAACACATCCTCACTGTAGCTTTTCCTTCTGTGGACGCACACGTTTATCCTGCTTTTGTCTGCACAGCTGTCTGTTTTCACAAAACCTCAAAGAATTTACTGCTTTTAAGATCTATGCCTCTGCCATGTTTAGCAGAAATTGGCTCACCAGCTCAGTCTTTGTGAGGATGGGACA